ATTAAGTCGACAATCTCGTCTTAGTAAGTTGCATATTCGCTGACTCCATTTAAGGCTTGAAAGTCCTTGCCTTGAACATATTCATGGTGACCTCAAGAAGCCTGATGACTCAACGGGTCACGTTTTGACAGTGTCGGCGAGAACTATCTCTTTATATGCAGACCAATCCCGATCGAACGAGAAAGGTCATGTTGGTATTCCGTCGTACCAAGACGCACCCCGAGATATCTTGGAACGGATCCTAGCTCTCTCTCCGCACGTTTGCTTCGACGGGGAGATGACGCCAGCCCAAGCGTGGGAGTACATACGGAGCCAACCTCACTTTGGCGGCATCGAGCTGCGAAGATTATGGGCGCTTGCTGACAGATTGATGGAGGGCATTAAATGTCATGGGTAAGCCAAGCTATGGACGAACGGGCGATGTTCCTGCTGACAATCAAATCAGTTTTGGTGCTGTGATTGAGACTCAGGGTTTTCAGGCATTGGTATACGATGCTCTGCTGCTCGGGACGCAGTTCTTATAGGAGTTGTCCTTAGTCCAACAATCAATAGCCAGCTTTAGAATTTGACAACATGGTAGCCGGAGATTCAAGGATTGTTTTGAAAGGCATCAGGCTACGAAAGCATCAAGATAAGAAGGGGTTTCTTCGTAAGAAGTGGTTAGGTTCGTGAGTATCTAATGGTTTAATGATGAAACTTCTAGATCATCATTCGCGTCTGATTGGAGAAAATCCCAGGTTGCCAAATCGCGAAAAAGGCTGGGCATGCCGTAATCGAAGAAATCATAAAAGGCCCTGTCAAAATGAGAGTAAGATAGCCCATCAACGAACCAAGTGGCAGCCCGGTGACCCGATTGACCATCATCATCTGTGGATTCATCTGGTGGCAGAAAGGCCTCACTGGGCTGCACCAAGCTCGAAACAGGTGACACTGAGCTTCCAGTCACATCTTGGGTTGGTCCATGTCGTTGAAGGTTATTCAAGTTGCTGATTGGGTTCCTAGTGACGTTTGCGTGTTGATGTGTGTCGTCGCAAGTGCACGAGGCGCCCTCTGTGGTTCGAATGGGAGGTGCACTGGGCCTGGTAAATTGTTGCAGACGCCTCACTAACCTAGCAACTCCCTTTGCACTGGTCCAAAGTCGACTGAGGATGACGAGGTTATCGTAACATGCTCCAAGATCTTTGTACGCTTCTTCTGGTGCTCGCTCGCCATCCCTAAGAGCGCGATAGACCACCGTGGTAGACATTGACATAGCATAAGGTACAAGAGGAAGAGGCGGGAGATTGGCAGGCTCTTCCAGACAGACGATGCGCAGTACACTATCAGCAGAAGATAGTCGTCGCTGATACTGGACGCTCTTCGGCCCGCTATAGCGACAGGAGAGCATCGCGGCGACGTGGTACCAAATTTGTAAGTACACTAAGAGACTAGAATCAGAGAAAGTCACAACGCTTTACTTCAAGCTCCAGAGTTACTTACATCTGTGGGATCTCTGGAACCCATCCATGCAAACATTAGTGGTCAGCTCAGAGAATGTCGGAAATGCATCAAAGTCGTCGTCCGTTGCTGTTGAGCTAGCTTTGTAAATCCTAGTTGCCGTTTTCATCAAATCTCCGAGAGAGAGAGATATGGCCATTAGCTGGGACCGGTAGTGATCCTTTCGGGGAGCAATGCGTTCAACTCCAATGTCTGTATCATCAATCATGAACGGAGCAGCGCCCATGACGGGCTTGTTCAGCCGATCAAAATTTCGTAGTGTCCACCACAAAAAATCGCAACGCTCCTGGTCGGAATTAACGGGAACCTTTACGTGCAGTGAGATTGCCCACGCTTCGGATATAGCCTGGGAAAGATACCCTGAGGAGCGGTCTAGTCCACTCAGGCCGTCGTTGTGTAGGTGCATCAAGGCTAAAATTTGAACTTTGGTGATCCGGTCGGGCTCGAGATCTGCCTTGATAGAGACATCAAGACCTTTGAGTAATATAGAAGCAAAATGTCTCTGATCCAGGATAGCGCCATCCTCACAGATTCTCAGAAATGGGGCTGCCTGTCTGAATTTACAGGCAATGAGGGAGACTGCTCTGAGGAGAAATATGGATGCCTGCCCGTTACTGTAGTCCCGAAATATTGCAGCCCCATCTAGTACTGGAATGAGGTCATCTAAGAGCATGTTGTAAATTGGCAGAAGGATGTCAGTCGTCGACTTTGGCAATTCGAGGTAAGCACCCTCTTCCTCAAGATATCTTCGTTGATTGTCTGAAATTTCAGGCCGCCTGGAATTGAGACGGTGACGATCGTACCAATTGCGCTGGCGAAGAGATCTTTCCTCTAGAGAAATACCTTCTTCAGATGTATTCAAGTCTTTCTCTTTGCGACGTGAATGCACTTGGCAAGTGCCAGCCTTGTCCGCAAGTCTTGCCCCTGTAGAATCCATAGAAAGATCTGTCAAGACGGATTCTGGGTTGTACAGACTGACACGGCTCGGACTAGGACTCGAGTCTCGAGTATTCGATGCCTGGTCAACCGGGTCTGTGATTGACCTGTCGCCGCGTCTGGCGGCGTATGGTCTTTCGGTGACACCGACATGATAGCACCGTTTCTTTCGTGCACGGCAGCCTTGACAGGGTGAATGGCTTGGGTTAGTTGGGAGTGATTTTGCCGAGAGGACGTGGACACAGGAGGAATTATATAGACTTATCTTGGGAAGAGCGTTTAGCGTTCTGGCTCGCAGAGGCCTGCCAAACAATTTCCATGTCGGTACTTGTTACCGAACTTCAGTCGGCTGCTGACAGAAGAGTTGCACAAGTCCAGTTGCACAAGTGATGGGATACCTCTATTCCGAAAGGTCGGGTGATGTTGCGGAGAAGAGTTAAAGCCCGGCAGAGTCTGGTCGACGTCCCCGGCTGGAATCAGCCCTAAAGACAGCTCGTCTCCACATGGTGGTAATCTTAGCCAATCAGCCAAGTGTTGAAATTGCAATACCCACATGTGTTGGAGTTGAGAAAACGTGGGGAAATGCCCCCTCAAATCGAGCACAGATTCTCGTCTGCGCCAGGGACTCCGAGCTGGTTAATTGGTTTGATCGCAACATCAAAGACAAGCCACCAGCGCTAAACACAAGACTTGGAGATTAGAATCAAGCTGCAGTACGCTCATTTACCTGTCGGCCGTTTAAAATTCACTTGCTCCCAAGTTAGCCTGCCAGCGTCATGGATTGTTGAGATGCCAAACTCCCACGGAACAAATAGCAAAAGCTTCACTTGAATGTCGTCTCATCAGTAAAGGTGCCGGTGTTAGTAAGGCAAGATCAGTCTCTTTTGCAATGAACTGGAAAAGAGTCATTGATAAGTTGGTCTCGCACATATTGAGCCAAGGAGGTTCGAGAAATATCTCCCTGCAGAACTAGTGGTACCACTAACTAAGCTCCCAAGACAGTGGATATAGATTCAGGACTCTTTTAGACACCGACGCCCACAGCATAGTCTGGCCACAAGCTCTCGCAGCTTGAACCTAAGGCTGGTTTCCATGATAGCAAAGTGGCGAAATCGGGCACGCTATACAATTGCTGGATATCCCAGCACCCTTGGCCACTTTCAACCAGGTTGCCCACCCCGACACTTCAAAGATTGAAGCGCTCCAGATGACCAGTAGCAATGTGGCCGAGACAACCAAACTCGAAAACGGTCAGGACTGTAAGGTTCGCAAGGAGGACGGCTGTGCCGAGCTGGTTGACATGAGGTGCCCTGATAGGGAGGAGATGGTGGCCTATGACAGGAGCGGATGCGTAATTCGCTCGCATCTAACCCCTTTCAGCATATTGGTCGCTGAAAAAAGTTGAAAATTGGCTGATCATGTTTCTTACCGACTCTTTAGGGGAAGCGGGGACGACACCAAGGGTGTCCTGGTATGCTGCCCTACAGGCTCAACAAGCCAGAAGTGCACCTCGCGGGGCATCCCCCAAAGTACCTACCGAGACACCTAGTCACTCAAGGCTATTAGAGACAAAGAGCTGCACGAACAGCTCCATCAAATCGACTGATTACTACACGACTTCCGCGTCTAGAATTGGCAGCTCGAGTTTTTCTTCCCTCATAGGACGCTTCATAGGCGGAATACGACCAGTGTCAGCCTTGAGTATGAGTTTTGCTATTGGGGCAGTACTATTTGGCTATTGGGGCAGTAACCCACTTTTTAGACCAATGAGGGCTCATAGCTATAGAGCTCGGATCATAACCCCACACCCGTACCCGCTGCACCTGCCCACGGGCCACCCGGCGTACGGAGTAATTGCCCACGGTCGCAATTGCCCACGGTCGCAATTACATAAAGCAGCTGCGGGCACGTACGGTCGCAATTGCTTATTCAAAAATATGATTAAACAGGCAATTAAGTAGGCAATTGCGACCGTAGGCAATTGCGACCGTAGGCAATTGCGACCGTAGGCAATTGCGACCGTGGGCAATTACGCCGGGTGGCCCGTGGGCAGGTGCAGCGGGGCGAAAAAGTTTAGAGTTCAGAAGGCAGGCTCTGATTGGCCAATAAAGTGGATTACTGCCCCAATAGCCAAATAGTACTGCCCCAATAGCAAAACTCTTGAGTATATGTATGTGATCTATATTTCTAGGATCCGAGTTTATTGTGGTAAAACAAAGGGTTTACAAAATATTTTGGGCGGGATGAGTTTATCCACAAGTGGTAAGGGCGCGCCTCTACTGGCCTGCTTTAGAAGGCATAGTTACATACTGGAATGACGGATGGGCCGATAGACGCCTGCTACGGAAAAAGAATTCGCCTATCTGTGGAGTCTCAAGAGTGCCCCGTGGGGAGGGTGATCGTTCCATGTCTTGCTTCCCACCTTGGTCCGACAACTGACAAAGTACAACCTTCGATCTGATGCATTGAGAAAGCGGCAGTTGAAATAGCCCAAAGCATTCAATGTGGCAATGACCGAGGTGGCTCCTCGAATGCATAAAGACGTATGTACCGTCCCCCGTTCAAGCATGCATCATGGACCCAACTTTCGCACTCATGCGGACTACACCCAACGCCCTGCAACGCCGGCCATATCGTTCAAAGAGGAATCGGCCGTGCATGCTTTGCCGTGCGCGTAAGACTTCATGCCGCCGCGCGGGAAAAGATACATCTTGCATAACGTGCCGCAAACGAGGCGAACGCTGCAGCTTTCTCGATGATCCCACTCACGAGTCGGCTCTCACTCATGAGTCGGCAACCGCCTCTCTGTCCGGGGGTAGTCCCAATGATTGCGACGGGTTGGATGACCTCGGACAAGCTGGAGTCGGCTTCGACACTTCAACAATCCTGCCAGGAGATCTAGCCAGCGACATTGTTCAGGGCTCCCTTGGAGACCATACGAATGACCATTACAGCCAGCACCCCGCGGACGAGGACGCGATGTATGGGGGCTTCACCGATGAAAGGATCTGGGGCAGCCCTCCGCCAGATGAAACACAATTCGCGAGCACTGCTATTGGCGCTGGTCTGATGCAGTTTGATGGAATCCCGCTTGCGAATTCTCAAGTCCTTCATCAGCATGATTTCGAGACACCCGAGCGAGCAGCTCCACTGCCAACATTTGAAGCCTCGTCAAATGGCGCGAATTCCGCGCACGAGATCGGGATTAGATTCTCGACAGAACCACACGATGGCTGTGCACAGTCGTCTAATCTGAACGATGCTGCTTTTACCATCGACCAAAGACCTGAGTTCCAGAGCGCGTACTTTGGTCTCTCGGGAGAGTCGGACCCTTATCTTCTCCGGCATTACTTGTATAACGACGCAGACGAATTTCCGTTTCTTCGAGTGATATATCGAAGGACGCAGAGCGGGACCCCCTTCCATCGCGACCATTCTTCGGTCACAGGACATCCCAGATCAGATGAAAACAATGTTCCGATCCAATTCCTTCTAACTTCAAATGAGTTGAGTGATGAGCTTAGACGCCTCGGTCCTACCAATCATTTATATAATTATGAGTCAGTGAGAAAGGAACTGAACGACTTGGTGAGTGAAGATGTCGGACGGAGACTTGTTCTATTGTAAGCCTGCCCCGTTTCCACCAAGCATCATGACCCTAACTGTCCAGGTTCGTACAATATGTTTACCCAGCATTTCCAGTTATTTCTCGGTCACAAATAGTGACTGCCTTTGATGGACATTTCAAGTCTGCGTCCCCGGGACATGCTCCACTGCCAACTTATCTGCTGGCCGCTATATACGCTTCTGCGCTCCCTTTCACTGCATACGATGACATACTATGCGTCTCCAGTGTCTACAAGAAACCTTCCGCCCAAAGACTATGGCAAATTGTCTATGACGGGATTCAGACTACGCTACATACCCCGAAACTATCTACCATCTCAAGCGCATTACTGTATCTTCATAAACCCCGAGTAGGAGTGCAGCATGTATCCGCGGACACGTCCTTCGCCTGGTCTATGATCGCCTCTGTCGTTGGCTTAGCCACGAGCCTAGCGCTGCACCTGGACTGCAGTTCATGGTCAATACCGCCGTGGGAAAAGCGGCTTCGACGCCGCTTGTGGTGGATGACATTCTCTGAGGCGACGTGGAGAAGTCTCTTGTTGGGAAGGCCTGCTATAATCGCACCAGATCAGTGGAATGTGTCGGAGCTCACTTCACTGGATTTTGAGGTTGAGGAAATGCTTCTTGGGCTTGGCGATGATACGAAAGCAAACGATTTCGCGGAAAAGCTGCGACTTGCAACACATGAGTCCGATGAGGGTATGATATCACAGCGACTCGCAACTTTGACCATTATTGCCGACAATATATACCGTTGTCTTTAGTAAGTCCTCTGATGCCCGTTGTTTGTTGCTTACATGCGCTGAGAGAAATCGCACAGCACGATACGGGCTACTGAGAAGCTCGCCGATGACCTTGCTGGCTCCATCAGGGCTATCAAACCTCTTCGTGAAGAGCTCAAGCTGTGGTATGCCAGTCTTCCTATCTATTTAAAGACACCAAAGATAGATCCCGAGAGGGTGGCTCCCGCCGCACCAAGCTCGGCAGCCTGCCTCAAATTCGCGTATCTGACTCTCGAAATTCTACTTTACCGAGCTTTGCTTCGGCCACTGGGCAAAATCGACCTGGAAGTTGTCTCGAATGCAGTTTCACAGACAGATGATCTTTGTAGTAGCTCGGATGCCAACATGACTGGACCGGAACTGGGCGAGAGCCTGCGAAACGAGATAGAGCTGATTATATGTGCTGCCGAAAACTGTGCGAGGATTATCAGCACCTTCACCGTCGAGCTGATGTCTTGGGATTTTGCCGGTTTCTGGTATGCTTGTAAGTAACGCCTCATGTTTGTGCAAGGAAGTACGCAGTTGCAAGCACATGTCTAATTAGTGGGCTAACCTAGGGTCTCGCATTGGTTGGGCGATAACCTCAAGCTTTCTTGCCTTACTCTTTGTCCAATCACCAAGCGTGCAGCACGCAAAAACGTGCAAGATTCTGATCGACAAGTGGCGGCAAATATTGCGACACCAGTCTCAAAGCTTCGAGGACATGAGCCTTGGGATTCTCCGGTTGGATGCGATGTACTGGTCAAACATGAATAAGATCTTTAGGATTAACAGACATGTAGCACAAGTAATCAAAGACTCGACATGAAGTCGACATTGCACTGTTATATGCTCGCTATACACTGGTAACCCAAACGTTTGGGCATCGTGCCCACGGATGGAAGCAAACTACCGAGATCTCATCAGCATTCATAATCCGCGCACATCAAATTTGGGACCCACCTTACAGAAGCTGCTGCACATCGCTGTCCTAAGCATGATTGCTGAAGCGTTTCTACAAAACGGCTTCTAGGACGACCGACACTGCAAATCTCAGCGGCAACTGTGGGTCAACACGTGCACAAGCGAGTCCCGGCGCTCATGGCAAGATACTTTTGATATGTCTATGTATCAGATTGTGTCGGGCACCTCCACATGTTCTCCTAGGGCACCGCAGTACTAGTGAATGAGCACTGATCACATTCACACCGCGAGCCGGAGACCTCCAGATACATTTCCAACCTGCTTTGCGTTTCTCCTACGGACGAGGATGTGGATGAGTCCGACCGCAATCAGAGCAATAGCCTCCATAGCGAGCGAGACTGCGTTGCCCATAATGTAGCGCGGCGAGTCCTTCTTCGGATAAATCTGGGATGAGGGAATTCCCGAGGCGTTGGCGATGGAGATGAGCAAAGGGATACCGATTGAGCGCACGTGGTCGGTGGTAAGATTATTTGTCACCCAAGTGACGACAAGGGTGTTGTAAGGATAGACACCTATGACATATTAGGAGCTGGATAGCCTCAGTAGGGTGCGAACCGGACTCACCAGCAGCAACGAGGAACATGGCGAAGAGGTCTGCGCCGTGGTTGCTAGTGCCGACGGTGATCGCATAGCCAACAAGGACAGGAATTGGAACGATCATGGCGAGAATGCCGCGCTTGTTGAGTTTGTCCGAGAGCCAAGCGACGAGGCACAGAAACAGGCAGGCGAAGACGTACACCGGGATGGAGAGATAGTTCGCCTGGAGGGAAGTATATCTACTATGTGTGAGATGCATACTTTCACTGGCACTGGGAGAAAAGTTAGAAAAGAGACTTACCCAAAACCAACGATGAGAGTAGGCAAAAAGGTAGTGAAGCCGAATAGCGGAACGGACGAGCAGAACATGCCGATGGCGGCAATGTAGATAATGGGCTCCGTAAAAGCCATTTTGGCATACTTCCACTCGAATTTTCTCTCCCCCTTATAGGCCACATCTCTCTTGACACGCATGCTCATGACGTAGCGCTCCTCTTCGCTGAGGAACCATGCCTTCTCAGAGTCGAACGGTAGCGTGACCCAGAGAGCCAGGCCAATCACGATGGAGATGCACCCCTCGATGATGAACAGCCAGCGCCAGGCCTCGAGTCCGGCCTTAGAACCCATTGTCTGGATGCCGTAGGCAATGAGGCCACCAAAGGCACCTGAAAGGGCAATCGCACCGTAAAGCACGGCAATGCGCTTGGCTTGCTGAGCCCGGGAGTAGACGGTCGAAATCAGGAAAGCAAGACAAGGGAAGAGGCCGGACTCGAAAACTCCCAGGAGGAGGCGGACAGCAATTCCATGGTAATAGTTGTGGATGAACCCTGTTGCGATAGTAACAACACTCCATCCGATCATGGCGACAGCAAGGACTGCGTTAGCTCCCCATTTCTTAACCGCCATGACCCAGGGAATCTCGAAGAGGACGTAGGTCGGATAGAACAAGGTTGACAGGTCATTGAACTGTGTTCCAACGAGCCCCAAGTCTTGTTCAAAACCAAAAACTCGAGCGTTTCCTGCCAAGAGCTCGTGTTAATACCAACGGCCACAAGACTGGACGCGATGCAATTTTCACAAACCAATATTAGTTCGGTCAAGATATGCAATGAGCATGAGCAACGCCATTTGCGGCATCATGTACTTGTCGAATTTTGAGATGGCGCGTTTCTCTAGGACCGGATCGATCAAGATCGAGCTTTCACCCATGGTTGGAGGTGGTGAATCGGTAATGTTGCTCGGAACGAAGTCGGAGTTGATATTGGCTTCTTTGGTGTACTCCATGATTATTGTATTTGGGAGGTGAAAGTGATTGGACTTGACGATGAGATTCGAGTTGAGACCCCGCTGTCCTTTTTGAAGACAGCATAGTTGATAACTCCAACGATGATGTTGAACGAACTTATCGGCATTACCCGTATCTGTTGATAAGTTTCGCCGGGTCAGTTCAACAATAAGCCTTGATAACAAATCTAGGCTGCTATACTAGCCGTTGATAAGCGGTCGTTTGGAACCGGCGTAGAAGCAATTGACCAGTCAGGTTCCGTGTTCGCCGAAACTATGGAACTAGAATCCGCCGAATCTGTTGATGAATCGTAGTGGAGACAAATTCGCCGAATAATTTGTGGGTATGGTACCACGATAGAATACGTTCAGGAGTCAACTACTAGTGCTCATACTCGGTAGATCATCGAGCCATGTATGTATTTGAGAAGATAAATATCGAGGCACAAATTAGCATGATTTTGTTCCTCTTCACACAGCCATTCGACTGCATCTTTCCTTCAAGTTGTATAAGCGGAACCTAAGAAAAGGGGACATCGCATTTCGCTCCGCAAACATGTCAACGACGGCAACCATGACTACATCTGCCCAGATTCTGTCGCGAGCCAGCCCTGTAGCCACGGTGGTTATAGATAGGCAACGGCTGATGGATGACATACATCTCACAGCTCAATGGGGAGGGGGACAGAGATGGGGAGAGTATGCCTGCGCCATGTCCTCTCGCTTTCAGGTAGATCACAAAAGCTGACAATGGAATAGCGCCCCGACCGAGATCGGCATGGCCCGGCTAGCGTTGAGTGATGCAGATAAAATGGTACGAGATTGGTTTATCCAAGAGGTCAAGAAGTACGGTTGCAAGGTGCAGGTGGATGCTATGGGCAATATCTTCGCTATTCGGCCTGGCAGGAGAGAAGGCTACCCTACGTTCATGGGCTCTCACCTGGACACGCAACCCGCTGGCGGCAGATACGACGGTATCCTTGGTGTTCTCGGAGGAGTTGCAGCCTTGAGAGCTCTGCATGAGTCTGGAACCGAAACCGAGTACCCTGTTGGTGTTGTTGACTGGACCAAGTAAGTGCTGGCTTTAGTCAGGTATCATTGATGTAATTGCTTACAGCACGCAGTGAGGAGGGCGCAAGATTTCCACAGTGCATGATGGCTTCTGCTGTGTGGGCTGGCATTACAGATGTCAACAGCACACATCGAATCGCTGATATCGAAGATGCAAATGTCACAGTCAGGTCCGAGCTGGAGAGGATAGGTTACTTGGGCGCCATACCTGCGCACTACACCGCAATGCCCATGGCAGCTCATTTCGAGCTTCATATCGGTACGCAATCTGATGTCTTGCCGAGAAGTGACCGCATACTGACATGATTATTCAGAGCAAGGGCCCATTCTTGAGGCATCCAATCAATGTATCGGTGTTGTCCAGGGAGTCCAGGCCAGCAAATGGTTCACTATCACCGTCGGGGGCCGAGACAGCCATACAGGAGCCACTAACTTTGAGAACCGGTCCGATGCTCTATTGACCAGTGCGCAAATGATTCTGCGGTCACATCAAGTCGCTACCGAGTTCAAATCGTTGGCGTCCACTGGCCTCCTCTCCCTGGAGCCCGGAAGCACAAATACCGTTCCTGGGGTCGTTACCTTCTCACTGGACCTGCGATCTAGTGAGAATGAGAATATCAACAAAATGGAAGAGATTCTTCGAAGAGATTTTGAGAGCATTGCAAGGGGCGAGAATGTTGGAACAGTCACTGCGGGATGCACTCGTGGTCGTGGTTGCACTGTCTCTTGGAAGGTCGACTCAGATGCCAAGGTTGCCAACTTTGACAAGGATTGTATTGAATGCATCGAGAAGGGAAGCGAGTCGTTGTTCGGAGAACAGGCCGGATCACTGACGAGAAGGATGTATAGTGGCGCTGGACACGACAGTGTGCACACCTCTACGATGGTGCCCACGGCGATGATATTCGTTCCATGCAGAGAGGGAATAACCCACAACCCTACTGAGTATTGCTCGCCGACGGACTGCGGTAACGGAGCGCAGGTTCTTCTCAATGCTATACTCAGATACGACCACTATAGATCCACCAAGGTATGATTATGAGGGAACCTGTATGTAGTGATAAGGTGTTGGGAAGCAGTAATGATTGATAACATCAAGAACAACTCGAAAAAAACGTGTCTAATATTGCACTATGTCCCAACCACTCCACGTCTTGCTGTGTGACAGAATGGCTTGCATATACATAAATTACGATTCTTGTTTCGATAAGACTGGAATACTCCTGAGGTAGGGTAGTGTATGAGGACCTAGTAATATATATTGTTATTTTATATAGGTACGTAAAGTCGAACTTAGTAGGTAATGTCGAGTGCATTATATAAAGATGTCTAATACCTCCCGAGATGCCTGTGAACCACTCGCATGAGCCGTCATATGGCATTGGTATTCGATCACCAATATCTCCTCATCGTGCAAACCTGCCCTGCCCCACGATTCCTCATGCCAAATTAATTGGCGCGATTTCAATGAGCTACCAAGAGGTATCTCCTTCGACTTGAACAGTCACACTCGTATTCTTTATTTCAACTTCTGTTTCTTAAAGCCAAGCTCGGCCAGGAACGAGACCCTCGCCACCGTCACTCCAATCGTGATGATCATCCCAACCCAGTCCCCAACCTGCCACGTCATTGGGGAGAGACGGCCTTGTTTCCCAAACACCTCGTAGGTGCCCGCAAGAAGGGAAAGGTCAATAGCTAGAATAGCGGCTTGCGCGATCTTCCATACTCCAATGTCTTGCGTGTATCGTAGAAGTATGCCATTGAGGATAGCACAGCCAACCAGAGCTCCGCCACCCTGGTAGAGGAGCATGTCGTGGGCTGCATCGCGCGTTCCGGTGTGGGATTCGAGGAAGAATTGGTCAAGCATCCAGTCACGCGTGAAGAAGGACATGAACGCGCCCCAGAGCGCGCACGGTGGATCCCAGTAGAGGAAGATGGCTTTGTAGATAGAGG